GCTCTGCAGAGGGGCGGGATATAAATAATAATAATAATAATAATAATAATAATAATAATAATAATAATAATAATAATAATTATTATTATTATTATTATTATTATTATTATTATTATTATTATTATTATTATTATTAAGGCAGTCATGTTTTTCATAACGCAGCAGTTCCATATTAGTTTTGGAGAGGGGAAGGAAAAGATACTTTTAAAGAGATAAGTGTGTGGGAGGAGTGCATAACATTTTCCATATCTGTTATTTTTTTCCTGGCCTTAGAGAGCAAAAAGAGTTTGACTTACGTAAAAGTAGTGTTGGCCCACCAGTTCTCCAGTAAGGGAGAAATGACAGGAATGAGAAGGATCACATTAATTTTCCCTCTCCAGTATTTGTATCTACAGAAAACAAAGATATGAGAAAAGATGTTTAATATAGGGAGTAATTCAACTTTTTAAGATATTTCATTGGTGGGGAAAAATAATGCTTACTTTGTATTCTGAAGCAAATCAAAACTAATTAAGTCAGGGGATACAATAGTTCAAAAGAGTTTATTTGATGATTCAGAGGATTAGAGCTGAAAATGATAAACAGGGAATTGAAATCTTATGAGAAAAACATTTATGTTGGGAAGAGAGTAAGAATTTACAGCTTTTCTACAAGAAGATTATGATTCCATTCTCATATTACATTTTTAAAGTCTTTACTTTCCTAATACCCAGTTAGTACGTATTGAGATTGGAAGTGGTGCACTTAGATATTATATGCATACATTTTGAATTTTGTATGAAATTATCAGGTTATGGTAACTTTTGTTTTTATACTGTAACTTTTCACAACCCTATTTTGAGGCTTTCAGGATGCAAGAGTTTTCAGGAAGCACGTGTAGCAAATCTCTCCACTTGATAACTAATGCTCTTCCTAAGTGGTGCAAACAGACTTGGGCCCTGGTCCAGAGAACTGCAAAAGCAGCAAAACATTGTTACTTGTGCTTTTGCATTGCCAGTTGGAACTGGAAGAGTAGTTTAATAAACTGCGGAAACACTGTTGAGGGAATAGGAGTGGCGGAAAGGGTGTGCCTCTAGTTGTTTCCCCTGCTGTAGACTGACATGAGTCTTGAGAATAAAGTTTCTCACGTGTGTGTGGGACACAAATTCTGCACAACATTCTTCTTTGCTATACAGTCCTTACTGGTTCATCTTCTGTTCCTCATAGTTGGCTTTTGTGCTTGTATAAATGAACTCTAGTATAGATTTGGTATAGTATCTTTTATTTGTTGTTAACTGCCCTTGGGTGACCTTAACTCATGGTGATCCTGTTGATGAGACACCTCCAAGACCTTTATCTTTCACTGGTCTGCTTAAGACTTCTAGATTTATCCTTGTGACCTCCCTAATTGAGTCTAGCCATCTGGCCTGCGATCTTCCTCTTTTTCTATTACCCTCAGCCTTTCTTAGCATTATTGTCTTTTCTAAAGAGTCGTGCCTTCTGACGATGTGGCCAAAGTATGGCAGCCTCAATTTGATCATCTTGGCTTCTAAGGGTATTTCAGGCTTGTCCAAAGACCCATGTGTTTGTCTTTTTGGCTGTCTGTGGTATCCTCTGCACTCTTCTCCAGCACCACATCTCAAATTTTATTTGATTTTATTTTTATCTGTTTTTTTCACTGTCCAGTGCTCACATCTATACATGTTGATGGGGAATACTATGGCTTGGCTGATTCTAACTTTAATGCTCAATTGTATATCTTTGCTCATTAAGATTTTGTCTAGTTTTTTCATGGTTGCCCTTCCCATTCCTAATCTTTTTATCTCTTAACTGGAGTCTCTGTTCTGATCAATGTTTGTTCCATGGTATGAGAAATCTTTACCTATTTTTTCATTGTCTAGGTTGAATTTATATAGGTCCTTTGTGGTCATTATATTTGTTTTCTTTATGTTCAGCAGCAAGCCTGCCTTTGCACTGTCTTCCTTGGTCTTCCTCAGTAATTGTTCCTAGTCCATAATTGTCCAAGTCCAGGTTCCTGATTCTATAGGAAAAGAGTTTCTACCTCAACATAAGGAAGAACTTCCTGACAGTAAAAGCTGTTTGACAGTGGAACACACTCCCATGGAGTGTGGTGGAGTTTAACTTGGAGGTTTTTAAACAGAGGCTGGATGGCCATCCGTTGGGAGTGCTTTATTGTATATTCCTGCATGGTAGAGGGTTGGACTGGATGGCCCTTGTGGTATCTTCCAACTCTACGATTCTATATTTTCTGCTAGTAATATGGTATCATCCACATATCTTAAATTATCGATGTTCTTTCCTTGTGTCTTCACTCTTCCTTCTTCTCAGTTTAAACCTGCTCTTCATATGATATTTTCTGTGTACAAGTTAAACAAGTAGGGTAATAAAATTGCTTGGCTGTTCCTTCATATTCTCTTCTAACAGTAGCCTCTTGTCCTGAGTATAGATTTCTCATCAGAACCATCAAATGTGGCAGGACTCCCATGTCTTTAAGAGTGTTTTATACCTTTTTGTGATCCTAGCAGTCAAAGGCTTTGCTATATATAAATCTCATGCTGATTTTGGGCCTCGGCAGACGACTCAATTGAGCCGTCTCCGAGGCCAGGAAGAGGAGGGGCCACCGCACGCGCGGCGGCCCTTCCTCTTCCTGAGGTCGCCCTGAACGCTTCCGGGTCACCGCACGCCGGACGCGTTCAGGGCGACCTCCCTCCACAGCGTCCGGACGCGCTGTGGAGGATAAGTCGCAAAAAGGGCGCCCGCCGCTTTTAGGGCGCTCTTTTTGCGACTTATGAAAGGAGTGCCTTTTTGGCGCTCCTTTCAGGGTCGCCGGGGAGGCGCCGCGGTGAGGCTGCCATAGCCCCGCGGCGCTCCGGACCAGGGCGCTCCAAACGCCCTGGTCTGCATCCCCCTTTTCTTCTGGAATTCCTTAGTGCTCTCTATTACTATTTGCAGTGTGGTACTTAGTGCCTCTTCCTTTGCTAACCCCCCTTGCACCTCTAGGATTTCTCTCCATATATGATTGGCATCTATGCTTTAGAATTTTAAGCATAACTTTGCTTGTGTGGGAAATTAATGCTGTGATCCTATATTTGCTGCAGTCTTTTGCTTTCTCCTTTTTTTGTGGATGGCATTATACACTTGTTCCTCTACATTCATCATGGTTAGGGGCACAGGATTCCCATGAATGTGGAAAAACAGCAAATAACAAAACCACTATGTTTTTACATAAGATAACACCTCTCTAGGAATCTCTAGGTCCTCTAGTGCAACTCTGTGGTTGACATCTACCAGATATTGACCATAGACTTGCACTAGAGGAGCTACAAATGCCTAGTGGAGTGTTCTCTGTAGGAATCTCTAGGTCCCTTGGTGCTACTTTTGGTTAAAGTTGACCATAGAGTTGTGCTGGAGGACCTAGATATTCCTATAGGGGGATATATTAATAAAATCTGTGAATAATCAAAGCCGCAAAAGTTAACATCACAAATGTGAAGGGATGAGTATATATTGATAGTTTCCAGTCCGTTGGCCAGCATTTTGTTTTTCATATTTGTTGGCATATTTTAGTTAATGCTAGAATTGATTCTGTCAGTGTGAATTATAATACTTCAATTGGAATATCAACTATTCTTGTTGATTTACTTTTCCCTATTTCTCTTAATGCAGCTTCCACTTACCTTCCTAGAATTTGATTAATTTGATTAAGTATCTAGTTGATACTTGGATTGTTATGTTTTCATTTTCTCCAAAGTGTCATCAATTGGTGGCTTGAATTCTAAAAAAAAATGTAAATTCTAGAGGTTATTCTTAAACTTTAGTATAAATAAAAAATGCTTAGGTGTGGTTTGTATGGGACTAATGCATAGTTGAGTTACCTTATTCTCCTTTGAAAAGAAGGGAAAAAACTGCTTTTTGTTCTGACTTAAAATGGGATCAGTGGACATGGTTGAGAAAAATGGAATTTCAGTGCACTAAAAAAAAAGAGAGCTTCTAAACTGTTGTCTTTCTAACATTGGGCCCTCCTTCTTTGTGTGTGCAAGTTGGTATAGTGAAAGTATAAATAAGTGTAACTGAAGCATTGGAATGTGAAAACTGTTTTCTTCAAAAAACCTTCCAAATATAAACTGACTAGAAGTGGATGTTGTAAAGGTTACTCATGTTTCATAACTTTTGCTTTTTCTTGCTCTAACCCTGATTTGTCTATTTGCAGATATTATTAAAGTGAGTTGATGGTTGAGAGTAAATATGCATATAGTTAGGCTCAGATGTATTTTTCATTTATTTTTCTGGATGCTGTTAGCTAGTTGGGTATAATGATCAAGTCACCTTGCAGCCTGGAAAAAAAATTGTGTCTCTGTGTGTTTCTTTTCTTTTTTAGTTGCATTTAATTTCTGTCTCTGTTAGCTCAGCAAGGCAAGGGAGTTCCTTGTTTTTGAAATTAATAGTGCACCAGTTTGGGTTTTTTTTTTTTTTTTGCTTTTTCATGTGGGTGTTCTTATTACTCTTTGAACAAAGGATACTCTGCTCTACAAACAAAGCATACTTTTTCTTTTTAAAATAATATATTTTGTGTATTTTTTTAAAAAGCTGGACACACCTCTTTCTCAAACCTCTCCTTGCCAGTATTGCTTTCCGAATGTAACATTTTGTTCTTTTGAACTCCTTCCAGTAACATTTTATTTAATGGGAATGTTTCCATCTGGTAGACATTGAGAACCTGAAGTTACTTTTGACAAACCTATGTGCAGATCAGTCTAATTCCAAAAGTATTTTTCTAGGAAAACCCTGTTCTCTTTATTCCATCCAAGAATTGAAAAATGTATTTCTAAATAAAAGTCTTCTATTTTCCTTAAGTATACCATGTAGCATTCAGTGTCAAAGACTAAGTTCTACATCTGTTTGCTTATGTTGTTGTTGTGTGCCTTCAAGTTGTTGGCGACTTACGGCAACCCTAAGATGAACCTATCACAATGTTTTCTGAGGCTAAGACTTTGTGACTCACCCAAGGTGAGGGAGTCGAACCTTGGTCTCCTGAGTCGTAGTCCAGTGCTCAAACCACTACACCACACTGGTTGCCCATATTTGCTTATACAGAACACTTTTAACTATTTTGGATATTAAAACATAAAAACAAATACATATAGTGCTAGTACTGTCTCTACAAACTTGTTTTTGGTTGGCAACATACTAATATCAAGAAATATTGAAATTATGTTATGCTGTTATGCATGTCAGGGTGTGGATGATGGGTGTTGCAGTGATACTCTTTGACACCCAGCAGAATCTCCAGGACAAGCTGGCTGCTGTGATCTACAGCCACTTTGTATCTCTTACCATCAACTGGTTCAGCTTCCCTTCTTCAGGATCATGTCTTCCTCAGTCAAGAAGACACATTGTAAAGTCCAAAAGCATAGTTTATTAATGCATATAAAAGAAAAATAAAATAACTAAGTAAAATCCATTGTGATGAACTTGTCCAGTTCAGCCATGAAAGATTACATCTTTAACAATCCCAAAAGCATAGGATCCCAACTTGTTGCAATTGAAAGTTAAAAAGAAGTTACAGATCCATGTTTCCAGATCTAGGAGTTACATTATAAAAGCAGTATAAACATACTCAAAAACTTACGAGCTAACACCTAGCTCTATGGTTAAAAACCACTGCTGCCAGGCAGTCACATCTTGAATTAAAAACATTCTTAAACAAAGGCTTCTCCAGGCCCTTTACATACTCCACCTTCTGGCTGTTAACCTTATGTTGGTTGGATAATGCCTGTATGATGTATATTAACCCAGCCTCTTGCTGTCCATCATCCACTACATGACTATTTTCCCAAGCCTAACGATGTTTACCTTTTTGATATCTTGCTTCCCATAACAAAATCTGTGTCTATGAGTTGTACCTTTGGGAAAGTTCATGTTTATGACTTCTTGGCCATCTGGTGTTAGATTCACTTTGTTTCTCTAGATGTTGTTCTCAGAAGGAAAATTCCACACACACATCTCTACATTTCACCTTTGACTGTATAACCCATCCATATTCTAACAGTGCAAGCTAGAGGACTGCCTGATTTCATGGTCCAGACATATCTTTGTTCCTGAATTATAAAGGGGATGAATTACTTCTTTGGAAATGAAGAATGTAGGCACTACAGCAGGAATTCTGTTGGGAGGAAGTTACAAACGTGTAACCTGGAGTTATGCACTCATGACTGTTTCACATTCATGATCCCTACATAGCTCCTAATTTAGGGGATACATATGGACCATGAAAGTCCACAAATCCCCACTTACTGGGCAGCAGCCATTGCAATCAGTGAGGACTCTTTCTCCTGTCTATTGGGAAGTGACTGTCTGATGATCCTGTAATGCCCTGTCTGGCCCTAGTTGAGACCACCATATTGAAAGGCATGCCAGTCATGTAGTTTTAGGATGCTTCCCAATATAGTAGGGTCTCACAGAGATCCAGAGGACTTAGCCAGGGAGTGTTGCAAGCACGTAGGCAGAGTGATGCATCCTTTGAAGTATAAAATCAATTGGATGGTCAGTGATGGGAAAGAGGTATCTGGCATCTGGCATCGGATGGACATTTGAGAATCAAAAGGACAAGCCATATGGATCTGCCACCTCTTTTCTTTAGTATGGCTATGTTTTATAGCCCAGTTGGTTATAGGCTCTTTCCTCCCATAGAAATTTCCACCTGGGCTTCCCGAAAGTCTTCCCACAAGATGAAAAAGTATAAAGAAGGGCTCTTTGTTTTCAGCCTTGGGTGAAGTCAGAAGCCATGATTTTAGCTAGATTCCTCAGAATTGCTAGCATTCTGAGTCCACCTTCTCTGCAATTTCCCCTCTAATCTGGACTTCTAGTTTCTGCATTGGTAATGTGTGGTCCCCATCCTTCTAATCTCTTTCTCATTTAACCTACCTTTAATTTGTTATCTCTCTGTGTGTGTGTGTGTGTGTGAGAGAGTGAGTGCTGGGTGTGTGTGTTGATTCCCAGTTTATAAATACACTACATTAATTTGTAAACTGCCTTTAGAGTTTTGTGGGTTTGAACCTGTTAGACAAAGGTAAAAGATCATAACCAGATGTTACTCTGGCACTCTCATTCAGCTATATTAATTTCCCCATTGCATACAATTTGTGGGTGCCTCCCCACCACCCCTTGCAATTTAAGGAACAGTTCCACCCTTTGCTGCATAAGTGATCTCCAGGACAAGAGAGAATTACAACAGTGGTCCTATCATATACCCCAACACCCCCAAAACACTCATGGGAAGGGGTAGCATTGTCCTTTAGCTGTTTCCCAATCAATATGGGAATAGGCCCCCACTGATCACAACTGCTGTCTGGTAAATACAGATTGTGGGGATTAGGACTGGAGTCACTGCATAGCGCCATAAATATGGTGCTTATGTTTTTAATAACTCCCCAACAGGATTCCAGACATTGTCTGCATGTATAATTTATTGGGGAGAGTAATTTCATCTAAATTGTACAAATGTAGTTTGTTTTATAGTAATTTCTAAGGCACCTGTAGAAATTAGATATGTCTAGTTAGTGTTCCTTGAATAAGGATCCATAACATGTGATTCTTTCTTTTCTTTTAATTGTTTTTTAAAAATTAGTCATACATTGATTGCAATTATCCTAACCTCTACCTACCTGTCCCTATTTATAAAAAAAAGGTAAGTCATAGTACATACCTTATTTTCTGGCGTATAAGACTACTTTTTAGCCCTGGAAAATCTTCTCCAAAGTTTGGGGTCGTCTTATACGCCGGGTGGAGGAGCGGGAGAAAGAAGGGGTGGCACGGCGGGAGGCAGGAGGAGGAAGTAGAGAGGAAGTCAGGTTAGAGGAGGTGGGGGGAGGAAGGGGTGGTGTGGTGTGGCATGAGGCAGGAGGAGGAAGCAGCAGTGGATAAGAAGTGAACCCCTATCCTAGGGTTTTCTTGGCAAGACTGGTTCAGAGGAGGTTTGCCATTGCCTTCTTCTGAGGCTGAGTGTGTGACTTGTCCAAGTTCATCCAGTGGGTTTCATGGCAGAGTAGGGAATCAAATCCAGGTTTCCAGAAATGTAGTCCAACACTCAAACTGCTCAACAATGCTGGCTCCTAATCCCATGTACTACCTATGAAACAATTGCAGACTTTTTTGTTGTTCTTGTGTGTCTTCAAGTTCTTTCCTACTTATGGCAACCCTAAGGCAAACTTATCATGGGGTTTTCTTGGCATGTTTCTTCAAATGGGGGTTGCCATTACCATCCTCTGAGGCTGAGAGTGTGTGACATGGCCAGGGTCACTTACTTGGCCACAAATTGTACATACCCCAGAATGCATCACCTAGTATATTGGCAGTCCTTCCCCCCAACACTTTCTCATTTCCCCCATTGGAAGAGGGGTCGTCTTATATAGCGAGTATATCCCAAACTCTATATTTTAACTGGAAAAGTTGGGGGTCGTCTTATATGCCCGGTCGTCTTATACGCCGGAAAATACGGTAGTAAAATTAAAGTTCATAGTCTGTTCTTCCACAGCTTCAGATGGGATGATGTGGACTTCATGTAGAGAGAAGATCCATAGTATAGTTAATGAATAGGTACCAAAGTTCTACAAATGCATCCTTTTAAAAATTCTACCCCTGTTTAGCTGAGCATAGGAGGTTTTCTGCTAAATTTATAATTTCTGCTAAATATTTCTGCTTATTTCTGCTAAATTTTTCTTCTTTTTGTCTTTTAAATTTTTACTGTAAAGCTTTTAAATGTTTTTTTTATTTATGAACTACCTTGAGTCCCTTTGAAGAAAGGCAGCACAGAAGTGAAAAAAACAACAACCCACCTCCTAATTGTTTAGGATTAATCACGTCCACTGATTCCCACACTATTGATAGCTCAAGTAGCAGATAACATTATAGAGATCAATTACTTATGTAGTAGATTTTTATTACCTTCATCAAAAATGGACAAAATTAATAGAACCTTTTATAATGTATATTCTTATCATATGACTGGTGTAGGAAATAATTTAATTCCAAAACTGGAGGACATATATATTTTAGGGGCCCTTTGACCTCACAACCTCTCTAGCTTCTAAAAGCATTATTAATAAAATTCAGTTTAACTGGATAGAAATGCCAATCATGTGCAGATTTTATAAAAAGGACAGAAATAGATCTATATGAAGAAGTTGACCAGAGGTGTGCCAAGCTTTATATGAGATCTTTGTTTTAAGAATCGTTTCCCAAACTATTTTGAACCCTTAATTTGCCCAAATACTTTCTCATTTAATAGATTATAAATAAATGAAATCAGACCAGGTGAGGTATAAGAAGAAGAAACATATTTTGTTCAAATTTTGTAAGTGCCTTTGAAGGTCCTTCAGACCTAAATATGTGATTGAAAAAGGAAGTAATCTGACCTACCTGAAATTAGGATATATGTCCTTTGATCTGTTCTCTCTAAAATATGCTCTTTTTTGAATGGGCTTGTTCCTATAGAGCAGATCTCAAGAGTCCAAAGAGTCCCATTTGTTTCCAGACTTTAAACTGCTTAATTTTTTCATAGTGTCTAAAAGGTCTAAGGGGCCTCGTGGTGATACTGAAGGGGCTAATGAGTTTGAATGGCAATGCATTTCAGCTGTAGCTTTTCACTTGTAAATGGATTCTTAATTTTCATTTTGGGTTTATGCTTAACTTGGTGGTAAATGTATGGATCAAAAGAGAGAGGTTCCAAACATCTTCCCAAATTTTCAATCAAATGAAAGTATCATAATTTCTTATGAATTTTTATAACTGGTCCAGTTGAATTGCCTCATAATAGGTAAGAAGGTGAGGAATCACGAGACCTCCATGTATGGAGAGTCTGTATTTAATGTTGTTTGTAAATCTTTTTTTTTCCCTATCCCAAATAAACATCTCCAGGGTGGGTTTTTTGGGTTGTGTGTCATTTTTAGATACTATGTTGGGCATCAGTCATAGTGTATGGAATAAGAAAAGAAATGTAGGGAAAAAAGAGCATTAGCAACTGCCACTCTGCACAGTACATTCTTGAAGGGTGTAAAAACTGGTTTATAGTTCCT